ACAGCTATGTAAAGGGAGGTATATATCCATGTCTGCACTATTGGGTTGCCCTCTAGTTAATTATTCAGCAGTTGACAACGATTGTCCTGGTACTGGGCAGCACTTCATCCTGGCACCGTGGTGACAAGGTAGCTGGGAAGGAGGAGGGTCTGGAGGAGCTGTTAGCATCAGCTGCTTATGGGCAGAAACCAGCAAAGCTCTTTGCCCCTCTCGGGGTCCTCAAACTTCAGTGTGCACAGCATCCACCGGAGACGTCAGGGATGTAGACTTCTGGCCAAACCACCAAAATATGGGTCAGCAGGCCTGGGTGGTGAGACCAGGGTACCTGCACTTAATGAGATCCCAGGTGAGCCTCTCCCAGGGCTCTGTGGCCACACTCTTGGTTGGGCTGCACCTCCTTAGCTTTGACTGTGAGAGAGCTGGGATTAGCAGCTGCCCACACCCTGCCTAGGAGCCTACGTTTGCACAGATGCAAAGACCAAGAAAGGCCTTTCAGAGGCCCAGGAAAAGCATCTTCCTTCCACTGAAGAAGGCAGCCATGGTGGTGTGACTAAACCAAAGATTGGTAGTTTGAACCTAACCAGAGGTGCTTTGGAAGACAGACCTGGTAATCTGTTTCTAAAAGATCAAAGCCTTGAAAACCCTGTGGAGCAGTTCTACTCTGCAAACATGAGGTCACCATGAGTTAGAATGGACTTGACAGCAACTGTATTTTTTTTTTTCCTACTGAAGAGGCTGTGGCCCCTCGTGGTTGGGATGAAGGGTGCTCCCAAGGTGAAGGCAGTCAGGACACAGCCGTCCTGGCAGAGGGGCCAAGACCTCCAGGTTCTGTTGGGTCCCTGAAGATGCTGTGACCCCAGCTTCGGTCAGGTCCCCTTCTCTTCAAGCCACTTTAGGGAGGGAAGCCTGGAAAATGGTGGCCTTTTCAGACCTGGCTGGCAGCAAGGGTTGCCCAGGGCCCCCATGACTGGGTTACCGGCAGAGATCCCATGCCAGGCGCTGTCCTTGCAGGGACATGGGGCTCGTAAAACAACTTGGTGATGAAGAGTCTGGACTCTTCCTTGTCCTGTAGCCTTTGGCCCCTCCTCCTTCTCCTTGTTGCTAGTTCCTGCTGGAAGACTGCAGGAGCTGCATGGCTTAGGGCTGAGAAGGCTTGTGGCAAAGGGGCTTGATGGTGTGTGGGCAGCAAGGGACGGCCAAGAACAGAGGTGCGCAAACATGGTGGACGCGGGCTGTGGAAATGGGTGGCTGAGGCTATGTAGCATGATGCTGGCCCTGAACCCTCACTGGTACCCCCTATGTGCCTCAGTTTCCTCATCTATAATACGGAGATAATATAAGGAAACTCAGCCCCAGAAGGTATGTCAAGGCCCTGAGAAGCAGACTGGGCTTCTGGCCTGCCAGGTTTGCCAGAGGGCTGGGTGTTCTAAACATTTGCTTCTTGATTCCTCCTGAAAGCCACTAGAACAAAGATTTGCTGCCAAGTCTGAGTGGCTGAGCTGCTGGTGGGAGTGAGAGTGTGGCCACTGGGAGGGAGAGAGGAGGGCGTACCATCTGATCCCCCCACCCCACCCCGAGGGTCTGCCAGGAGAGGCCAGGCCAGGCCCGGGGTGTTGCCATCCAAATGCTCTGGGGCCTCTGGGTGGGGAACTCATGCTCCTGGAGAGGAGCTGCCTGTGTGGGGTGTGACAGCCCTGCCCAAGGAGGTGCCCTACAAGTGTCAGTGGACAGAACTAGATGTGGTACAGGCTGGTTGTGTGTGAAAGAGGAACGAAGTAGGGCTGTGAGTGAATCGGGCATGAGGTCCAACCCCAACTAACCTGGCTAGAGTTTGTAACTCATGGCTTGAAGGAGGCAGGTTAGGGGCCAGTACAACAGTCAGAGAAACCGGGGCCACCTTCCAAGTGAGGCAGAGTGGGAGCTCGTGGGCCCCATAGCAGCTGAGGTGGGGGTGGTGGGCTCTACCCCTGCTGTTGACCTCATGAGCCCAGGAGCCTGAGTGGGGCCTGGCCCCCCCTGCCCCCTGGACTCCCCTGGCCTTCAGGGTACGCAGAGCCATCCCAGGCAATGTTGAGAAGCAGCCCTTCCCGGAGCGAGTTTCCCCTCCCAGCGAGGGCTGCATCTGCGGCCCAGCACGTCTCTCGCTGGGAACCTTCCCAACAGGGCTGGCAGGATGAGGCTGTGTGTCTGAGCCAGGACCGGCACGCACTTCCCCTGGGCCTTTGGGCCATTGCCGGGTGGCCTCTTTTCCCATGACCTGCATGAGGTAGGGTCTGTCTTCCTTGAAAATTGCATGACAACGGAGAGAGCACTGGGCTTAGACTTCAAAGCCCAGGGCTTAAGCAGGCCACCATTTACCACAGTGTGAACAAGACCTCCTCTCCTCATGCCCCCATGTGAGACTTGGCTCTGCCGCGCTTCCCGGCTTCTGTCCCTGCCTGGTTATCAGGAGACACTGCTCTCTTAAGTCTCCTGACTATACATACCTTTTCTTAACCAGGACAGGTGGCTAGTATCTCTGACGTCCATATCTGGTCATGGCATGTGGGTGCCTCCCAGCTCGTTAGCTCTTGGGGAGGGTGGGCTGGAGCAAGCTGAGGTGTGTTTACACCCAGTGGGAGTCCTCAGGGGTTGATGGCAGAATTGAATGAGCAGAATGAGGAACGTCCTCTTGGGTGTGGGTCCCCAAGGGGCCTAAGGCACCACAGCCAGAGTCGATCTTCACAAGAGCATCGCCCACCATGGCTAGGAGGGCAGTGGTGGTGGATCTGAGGGCTGAGGCCAGAATGGGCCGAAGTCAATGGCCACAGGAGTTGGGGGAGGATGAAGTGAAGTCTAAAGAGCATATTGGGGTGAGGGGTTCCAAATGGAGATGATGAACAAAGGGAATGGGCTGAGGGGACATCCTTTTATGTGTTGAGGCCAGTGTCTGGGTGGACAGGATGGGGCAGCATCATCCTAAATGTCTTCCTTAATTCAGTTCCTCAGTAATAAGAGACAACAAAACTTGGAGCTGACAAAATGTGGTATATACATACAATGGAGTACTACTCATCCAGAAAGAGAAATGAAGTCCTGATACATGCCACAACATGGATGAACCTTGAAAACATTATACTCAAGTCCGTCAGTCACAGAAGGACAAATACTGTATGGCCCCACTTACATGAAGTAGGCAAATGTATAGAGACCAAAATTTATTAGTGGTTACCAAGGGTGCGGGGGAAGGTGGAGTCTTAGCTGAGGGGGCACTGAGTTTCTGTTAATGGTGGTAGAATATTTGGAAAAGGACAGTGTACAACACGATGAACATAATCAATGAACGTAACTGTGCTTGTAAATATTGAATTGGCAAATGTCTTGTTATATATATTTTTACCACAATAAAAAACAAACTTGGAGCTAAGAAGGTTACCTTAGTTCCCCCCACCCCGCTCCTCTGACTGCGCCACTTGGTTCCTGAGCACCTGCCTCGTGCTAGATGACACCTCCTCTGAGCACTGGGGACAGAAAGAACTGGTCACTCTCCTGCCCTCTGGGCACCTGGCAGACCATGCTGTGTCCCCTCCTGCCCTGCTCCTCTCAACATCACCTGATTGCCCCACCTCCATCCTCCTTCTGCCACAGCCACGTGCCCAGGGGCTGCCCCATGGTACGGGGGTAGGTTTCCTGGTGAGCCCAGGCCGACCCTGGTCCTGTTTCTCCTGTGCAGTAACTGGCTGAGGCTTGGTGAAATGTGTGTTTCTGCCCAGTGAGACACTGAGGAAAGGCAGACCAGGGCTTCTGGGAGGGACACAGTCAGGCTGCAGAGAAACTGGGTCTGTGCCAGTGTTTCATGGGCCAAGGAGGGCCAGCATGGCTCAGAAGCCGCTGAGAGCCTGCAAGCGGGGAGATGAGCTGATGGGCTTCAAACTCGGGGCACCTAGAACCCACTGTCTCACAACCAACTGTATCTACATGACTGGGCCTCACATTTGGACTTGGGGAAACAAAGGGCTAGGTGGAGGATCCCATTTGAACTTTCTCCTTTCCAGCAAACGCAGGGGCCCAGGTTGTGATGGGAGGAAAATTGTGGGGGTCTCAGGGCTCAGGCCTGTATTGTGGCTGCCATCACTGGTGTTTGTTAAAACATGAGCACGTTCTAGAAAGTGTTAGTCAAACACTGAACAGCTGCTGAATAATTAGTCCCCGGAGTGCCTCAAACCTATAGGGTCAGGGCAGTGCCAACTCAAAGGCGTCTGTGCTGGAAAATATGCTGGGGACCAAGGGACGAGCAGGAGAGGGAGATACCCATGACCCAAATGCTCCTGCAGGACCAACATACACAACCAAGAAGTGGTGGATGGGAGAGAACCAAGGACCTCCAAAAATGAGTGATGCTTCAACCAGCCCGCCCAGGCCACCCTCACGTCTGCTGTGAAGGAGGGAACCAAGGTGCCGCCCTCGAGCTGTGGGAGATGGGTCTCTTATCTGGGAAGCACCAGCTCGTCCCTTTACTCCTCCCCTTAGTTCTCTGCCATCTTCCTGATGGGCTGGGGCATCTGTAGCTCTGCCAGCAGAGGGACCCACAGGCTGTAGTGCCCAGCTGTGAGGGACATTAGGCCATGGGTGATAGGCCTTCTGAGCCTCCTGTTTCATGGGGCTGAATTCGAGCACACGGAGTTTGAATAGCTAGCAGGATGGGGCTCCAGAGTCACAGCCTTTGTGCCTGGAGGGCTGCACCTCAGTGAGCCAGATCACTCATCGGCACAGCTAGGGGGTGGATGGCACCTCTCAGGGGGAGAGCCTCAGGCCAGGTGCCCCAAGTGGCAGCTGGCGCTTGTGTGCACACCCTGCCCATAGAACCCACCCAGCGCCCTCGCTGTGGCTCCTCCAGGACAGGCTCCAGCAGCAGCAGAACCTCCGGGGAATTGCCTGGGCTTGGGGTGCAAGCTTTGCAAGTGGTCCATGTGCGTCCCATCTCCAGCCAAGCCCCCCACCCAAACTCCCCATCTCGCCACTCCACCTTTAGTTACCTGCAGTGACATCACTAGGGTTGGTGTCACCCCCTCATGCTAATTACAATACCATAGCGACAACACCAGAAAATCTGACAAAGTTGGCAACTATAAGAACACCGGCTGCCACCAAACAGCGCGTGCCTGTAGAGCAGGCAGACGAAAGCATGTGGTTCAGGGCGTCACCGGAACTGGGTAATAACGACAGCTCTGACCGGAGTGCATTGGGAAGTTCAAAAAATTAGCATAGAGTTTTAGCCTTGTAGGTATATTGATACATGTAAGCTGAGCTTATGAAAAATGTTTTTGTTGTTCTAGCTAACTACAGGGATATTTTTATAATAATAAATTTCTGCCGAAACACTACAAAACTTCTACAGACCGTCATTTTGGTGTCATCCTCTGACAGTGTCCCCTGGTGCGGTCCGCCCCCCTCCCCCCAGTGATGCCACTGGTCACCTGACCCAGGGCTCCTTCAAAATCGGAGGAAGGCAGAGTCAGAGGTGCACGCTGCCTTTAATAGCTTGGTTCCTTCTGTTTCTGCGGATAAGGGAGCTGTGAACATACTGCAAGATAAGACCAAGAAAGAGGTACTTAACGCAGCCCTGGTGTTGCAAACACTGCCTTGCCGCACCATTCGCTCAACTGCAGCTCGGCAGGCAGCCCCTTCCGAGCAGTTCTTGAGGGCATGGTGGGCACCCCCAATCCGCCAGCCTGCCCACGGGTCCCAGGCCATCATGGGGACAAGGAGTGGCCATCACTGTGAGGGGTGACATGGAGAGAGGCTCAAGGGGCAGCAGTGGCTCTGAGCAGTCAGGGGACTGGAATGAAGGGTTGGCAGGTGTGGGCAAAGGATGGAGCTGGGCACTTCGGCGGGGCATCTGCTGTGTGGGGGCCACTTCACTTGGCGGAGTGCTGGGTCTGGGTCACGGCGCCATGACACTGCCCTGGCCTCTCTCCACCAGAGCAGAAGCGGCAGATGTGGCGCAGTCACAGGCCTTGTGGACAGGGCAGCCGGGACAGCCAGGATGCTCAGGCCGACTTCTCCTTCCCACCGACCCCAGCTTCCTCCTTTAGGTTCTCGGCCACGAGCTTCAGCTGCTGTTGAGAGAGCACAGGACACAGGTGAGCCACTCAGGCCTATGAGCTGACACCCACTGTGGGGGGCGCCATGCTCTGCAGAAGACCCTCTCAGCTCCAGTTCAAGTGCATTGTGACCCCGGAGAAGCCAGCCCCTCGTTCCTGGACGTCCAGAGCCCCTATTTCTGCAAATATGGGGGGAAATACCACGTTGTAATGTGTGAACCCCACTCAGGGAGATTTTAAAGATTGTTGTTATTGCAGTCTAGTCAATTCTGACTCATGGAGGCCCCATGTGTGCAGAATAGAACTGCTCCATTGGGTTTTCAAGGCTGTGACCTTTCAGAAGCAGATCACCAGGCCTTTCTTCTGAGGTGCCTCTGGGTGGGTTTGAACTGCCAACCTTTTTGCTAGTAGTTAAGTGCTTAACCACTTGTGCCACCTGGAATCCCCTTCTCCTGGAACCCTCTGGGCCGAGAGGGAGAGGGCCTGGGAGATGATGGAGCCAGGAGTCTGGAGCACTGGCTTGGGGCCAAATTTTTGCTCTGCCCCATGAGCTGTGTGACCTTGGCAATTTGACCTCTCTGAGCCTCACTTTCCACATCTGCACAATGGGAGCAATGGTGCACATCCTGCAGGGTGGCTGTGAGGATTATTGTCCACAAGTGCCTGGCCCAAAGCAGACACTCCATGAAAGCCCAGAGATTTTTTTTACCAGCCCCTTGTCTTTATAGCTACAGGACATTCCCCAACCCCAATCCAACAAAAATTAAACACATCCACGCCAGATGGGATTGGTCATCCCACAGAGTCTCCCCGAGTACCCTGCAATCCAAGTTTCCCAGCGGAAGGTCTGAGGCCAGGATGGAGGCTGAGACTGCCAGGCTCAGAGGGGGTGTCAGGAGGGCTGCACACCCAAGGCTTAAAGCAGCAATGGAGGAGGAAGTCCTGTTGCTCCCAGGCCAGAAGGCCTGTATGGATTGAACCGTGTCTCCCCAAAATATGTGTTGGAATCCTAACTTCTATGGCCTTCAGTATGGATTACACCTCAACATAAAGAAAACAAAAATCCTCACAACTGGACCAATAAGCAACATCATGATAAATGGAAAAAGATTTTAGTTGTCAAGGATTTCATTTTACTTGGATCCACAACCAACACCCACAGAAGCAGCAGTCAAGAAATCAAACAATGCATTGCACTGGGCAAATCGGCTGCAAAAGACCTCCTTAAAGTGTTGAAAAGCAAAGATGTCACCTTGAAAACTAAGGTGCATCTGAACCAAGCCGTGGTGTTTTCAATTGCCTCATATGCATGAGAAAGCTGGACAATGAGTAAGACCAAAAAAGAATTGATGCCTTTGAATTGTGTTGGCAAAGAATACTGAATATACCATGGACTGCCTAAAGAACGAACAAATCTGTCTTGGAAGAAGTACCACCAGAATGTTTCTTAGAAGCAAAGACGGTGAAACTATGTCTCACATACTTGGGACATGTTATCAGGAGAGATCAGTCCCTGGAAAAGGACATCATGCTTGGTAAAGTAGAGGGTCAGTGAAAATGAAGAAGACCCTCAACAAGATGGATTGACACAGTGGCTGCAACAATGGGCTAAAGCATAACAAGGATTGTGCGGATGCTGCAAGATTGGGCAGTGTTTTGTTCTGTTGTACATAGGGTCGCTGTAAGTCAGAACCGATTGGACAGCACCTAACAACAACACACCGGTGCATCTGAGCGAATGTAATGTAATTATGTTACATGTAATGTAATATAATGACCTTCCATAATGCAATCTACTATAATGTCAATCAATTGAGGTGATGCCAATGTAGAGTGGATCCTGAACCTAATTACTTCTGAGTTATAAAAAGGGCAGAATGGACACAGAGACACACACTTGCGGAAGACAGATGCCATGTGAGGATCATCTGCAAGCCAAGGAACCAAAACACCCAAGGCCACCAACAAGGAAGGAATTGACATGGCTGAGACTCTGATTTGGACTTTTAGTCTCCAGAGTTGTGAGAAAATAAATTTCTGTTCTTTAAAGCTACCCACTTTTGGTATTTCTGCTAGAGCAGGACTCGGAAACCGAGACAGGGCTGGACACTCCCAGTTCTAAGGCTCCACCCACAGGTCCCAGGACCTGTCCTGTGGGTGCTGGGAAGGATGACTACCGCTCTGCCCTACTTGCTGAATAAACAGTAACTACTTGGAAATTTGGCTTGAAACATACACACAGATTTTAGGATAACAGCTATTTGCTTACGGATAAACAAAACTCCTCTGAGCACAAACACTGTTGGGGCCCTGGGTAGCTAGCCACCCTACTTGGGAGCCCCGAGTGCCACGTGGGCCTGGGGGCAACACTACACTCCTATCTATTTTTCAGGGAGAGGAGCCCCCTTCCCAGCCATGAATCAAAAGCCTCTACCCCCTGCTTCACCCGAGTTTGCGCCGTGAGGTTCCTTTGTGTCTGCAGTATCTCGCAGACCTCACTTAACTCCGACAGTCTCATCTTTCCTGAGTTTGTACTTCACATGGTGGCTCCAAGATGGGCCTACTGGAGGCCGAGGCCGGCCTCTCTCCCCTGGGGCTGGGGAGGGGACTGCCAGGCCCTGGCCTGCCTGGGTCTAAGCGGCTCAGGGGTGGCTGCTGATGGGGGAGGGCCGGGTAGAGTGATGGTGGCCAGTTTGCTGGTGGAGTGGGAGGACTACTTCTGCCCAGGCTCAGCTCAGTTGTACCATGGAGCAACAGGCAGCACTTCTGCAGGCCCGGAGCAGGTGGGCACAGGGGTCAACGCTGGTCCAGGGAGACGCCCTATGCAATGTTCATGTAACCCTAAGCCTGACAAGGGCAGGTGGTGGAGATGGCCTGATTTAGTCCACAAGCCTGGAAAAGCAGAACTGCCATGCCATGTGAGTCTCCCCAGCAGTTATTTTTGCATCTGCCACCTCTTCCATTGGGACACTTCTGTTACTAACACCATCAGGAGCCCACTTTGCCTGGGAACTGCTGAAGTAAAATATCTCCACAAAGGAAAACTATTTCAGCCCAGATTCAGTGCAGACTTTCCCAGCTGGTGTCATTTAATGCTTGTAATGTCTTTTTATGAAAGAAGGAATCTATTTCCTGACAAGTAACCATAAGAAATTAAAGGCTAAATAAATTCAACTAAACTAGAACCATATTCCACCACTCGTCTGTCAGTTTGTCGTACTGTGGTGGCTTGACTGTTGCTGTGATGCTGGAAGCTATGCCAACAGAATGTGGAAATAATTGGACAATGTTATTAATATCACACACAAGTAAAATTTTACTGAAGATAACTCAAAAACAGTTGCAGAAGTACATCGACAGGGAACTTCCACAAATTCAAGCCAGATTCAGAAGAGGATGTGGAACGAGGGATATCATTGCTGATGTCAGATGATCTTGGCTGAAAGCAGAGAATACCAGAAAGATGTTTATCTGTGTTTTATTGACTATGCAAAGGCATTGAACTGTGTGGATCATAACAAATAATGCATAATGTTGGGAAGAATGGGAATTCCAGAACACTTAACTGTGCTCATAAGCAACCTGTACACAGACCAAGAGGCAGTCATCTGAACAGAACAAGGGGATATTGCATGGTTTAAAATCAGGAAAGCTGTGCATCAGGGCTGTATCCTTTCACTATACTTATTCAGTCTCTATACTGAACAAATAATCCAAGAAGCTGGACTATATGAAGAAGAACCAAGCATTAGGACTGGAGGAAGACTCATTAACAACCCGCATTATGCAGATAACACAACCTCGCTTGCTGAAAGTGAAGAGGACTAGAAGCACTTACTGTTGAAGATGAAGGCCTACAGCCTTCAGTATGGATTACATCTCAACATAAAGAAAACAAAAATTCTCACAACTGGACCAATAAGCAACATCACAATAAACAGAGAAAAGATTCAAGTTGTCAAGGATTTCATTTTACATGGATCCACAATCAATGCCCATGGAAGCAGCAGTCAAGAAATCAAACGATGTATTGTATTGGGCAAATCTGCTGCAAAAGACCTCCTTAAAGTGTTTCAATTGCCTCATATGCATGCGAAAGCTAGACAATGAATAAGGAAGACTGAAGAAAAACTGATGCCTTTGAATGATGGTGTTGGTGAAGAATATTGAATATACTATGCACTGCTAGAAGAATGAACAAATTTGCCTTGGAAGAAGTACAGACAGAATGCTCCTTAGAAGTGAGGATGGCAAGACTTCATCTCATGTACTTTGGACATGTTATCAGGAGGGACCAGTCCCTGGAGAAGGGCATCATGCTTGGTAAAGCAGAGGGTCAGCGAAAAAGAGGATGAGCCTCAATGAGATGGATTGACACAGTGGCTGCAATGATGGGCTCAAACAGGAACAATTGTGAGGATGGCGCAGGACAGGGCAGCGTTTTGTTCTGCTGTACACAGGGTCACTATGAGTTGGAACTGACTTGACAGCACCTAACAACAACAGAACCATAGTGAGAATCAAACATTCCCCAGCTTATCCCAGAATCTTCCAGCCATGTTTCCAGGGCATTCCACATGGGGTGGTAAATCAAAACAGGTGACATTTGAGGCCCCTTGCGACGTGAAAATTACTCCCCCATTTACGTGTGTGGCTCCAGCTGGGAGCCCCACGACACTAGGCAAACGGAAGCAGAGGTGTCTGGTATGTCTCCTGTGAGGGCCCTCCTGGTGGAGTGCAGCCTCTTGCTCCACAAGGCAAATGGGTCCCCTCAGACAGGCCGTCTCCCCTGAATGACCTAGACAGAAGTGATTCTTGCTGCTGTAGTGACTGTCTGATGTCTGGAGATGCTTGTATGATGCCCTCTGCCCCTACATTATCCTTATAGTCGATGGGCCTGTGGGGAGCCTCCTCAGTGATCACAGGCCCAAGGTCAGGGGCTCCACTCAGGCCGGGGGAGGGACTCAGGACCCGCCCAGCTGGGCTCCTCCTCATCTGCATGCCAGCACTGCTCA